CACTCCTTTGTGAAAAGGATTAGAATAAAACTCTTGAATAGACAGAGACATTTGAATTGAGCATAGAAGCAAAGGAAGATACTCAAGGGAGATGGAAAAACATAAGGAAAAGCATGAGGACATGGAAATCATGGTCACGTAAGTGGTCATGGCCATATGTGTGAAGCAGAGACACAGGAACAGTGCAAAAGAGGAAAATATGAGTTAAAATAAGAGGCCTTGGGGAATCTTTAATGCAATGGTTTAGATTCAATTTTAATCTCCATGGAAAGATGTCCTGTTAAGATTTCAAGCCATGTTCAGAACATGATCTTATTTGTCCTTTAATAAAACTATTCTGGCATCTAAATTAGAATTGAGCTGTAGAGTAAAGGGAGTAAAAGGAAAGTGAAGGGTTAAAAATGTATATTGGTAAAGCAAGGTTAGATAAGGTTAGCCAAAAAAGATGTTAGTTCTGAATAGAAAACATAAAATCAGAATTCTTATGACTGATGAGAAATGTTGTTAGGTACTGTCGAGTTGACTCCAACTCACAGTGACCCTGTGTACAACAGAACAAAATATGCACCAACCTCACAATCCTTGTTATACTTGAACCCATCATTGCAGCCACTGTGTCAAACCATCTTGAGTGCTATCTCCTTTTTGTTGACCTTCTTCTACTTTACTAAGCATGTGTGGTGGTTATGTTTGTGTGCCAACTTGGCTGGGCCTGATTGAGTGGCTGGGCAGCTGGATGTGTTATTCCCTATGATGAGACTGGTAATCAATTCCATGGTGGAATCTACTGTGAGCAGCTGAGTAGCTGCTTTAGGGAATATGGTCTGCTTCCTGTATATAAGAAGAAACCTTTGGAATGGTTGGTCTCTAGCTTATGACACACTTGGACCCTGCATGTAGCTGTCTGTGTCATTGTTCAGCAGCCTGCCATGCTCTACTGACCTTGGGACTTACAATGGACTTAAATTAATGACCTGCCATGTGATTTGGTGATATTGGGACTGTGCCATTTTACTTGTCAACCTTGGGCTTGGCAGCCTTAGCAGCCAGCAGCTGTCTGAGTGAAGAAAAGCCTCAAGCTTCAGTGGCCTGGGAGCTGGAGGCAGAGCTGAGGCCCAAGGCTGAGGGGATTTCACCCAACCCCTAGAGCCTGGCACCTTGAACTTGGACTTATAGCCTCCAAATTGTAAAAATAAACTCTTGTTTGTTAATGACATGTCACTTGTGGTATATTCCTGTCAGAGTGGCACTGGGTAACCAGAAAAGCATGATATCCTTCTCCAGGGAATGGTCCTTTTTGACCACATGACCAAAGCAAGTGAGAAGATGTGATAGTTGGAGCTGTGTGTCAACTTGGTTGGACCACAATTCTGTTTGGTTTAAGCAATTGTGATGTGGGTTGTTCCAATGACAGGATCATATGTATATGTTTTGAGCAGCCAATCCATTGAAAGGGAGTTTCCCTAGGGGTGTAGCCTGCTTCCAGTATATTTATGGACATCCTGGGAAAAGAGACACTCTTTTGTGGA